GATGGAATTCCAGGGACAGAGTGGGACAAACCTTGGAATCTTGCTTGACTGAGTGTGGATGGCCCCTTGGCCTGACTCAAGGCTTGAGGGAGATGACAGAGGGTTAATTGAGGATGCCAGGGCCCTCCATGTGGCTCTGCACTCAGACTCTGCACCCTGTCTCTCCTGAGCCTGAGGCCACAACCCTGCCCTGCCCCATGGACCCCAGGCAGGAGGCTGTCGGCTCACGACCCAGCTGGGTCTGGGGTGACATTCAGCTTCAGAAGTCATGCTTTTCTCCCAGCCCTGTGGATCCCACTCAGCATCAGGTGGCTAGTGCAGGAAGCCCTCTGCCTTTGTTTCTCTTGGGCACCTGCTCAAAGTCCCTTTACGTGCAAAGTCTTTATTCCTTGTTTCCTCCATCTCCACTTCCTCCCCCTGAAAAGAGCTGATGGCCAATTGTCACTGGGGCCCAGGAGAGGCTCCTTCCTTCCCTCTCACCTGGGCTCTTTGTCCTGTGCCACACCTGTCCCGGTCTTTGTGAGGCATGGCCATCTCCACGCTGGGCTGATAGAAGTTCACCTCGCATCCTTTGAGAGAGCTTGAGTCACCTCTAGTTGCCATTTCTAGCCTACCTCCCCGCCAACCCCCGAGAACGAGGGATGCTGGGACACTGCCCAGGTTCAGCATTCAGCACCGCAGGCTATAGAAGCTAAGGCAAGGTTTCCATTCACCATTCTGCACACATTCTTCTTTCAGCGATGACTGCATATATCATTAGCTGTGTTCAGTAAGGGCCAAGCAAGACCAGGATCTCAGAGTCAAAGTTGAGCACCACATAGAGGCCGGAGTAGCACAAGGCAGGGGTTGGGGACAGGTGGGAAAATTGCTACCCGCTACCCAAGGCCACAGGTTATCCCAGTCAGATCCAGAGGCTGGAAGAGAGGAGTATAAGGCTGTTTGTCTTAAATAAAGGGCAGGGGGGCTAGAAAGCAAAGGTGGTGGGTGGGGCAGCTGTTTTAAACAGAGAGGCAGGGATACCTTTTTTGCAGTGGAACTTCTTCAGACCTGAGATGGAAATGAAATGAGGGAGCCCCATGGAGGTCTGAGGGGAGTGTTCCAAACAATGAGAACAGGATTGCAAAACTCCCGCGAAGTGGGCAAACTGGTATGGCCAGAATGAACCCAAGCAAGGTTCAGGGAAACCTCACTGAACTTCAGTGTTTTCATTCTGAAAACTGGAGTGATGAGACGTGAGAAGTAGAAATGATACATTGTATGTAGTGCATATGGAAGTTGACCCTCGGTAGTGGCCTCCATGACTGTCCCTACTCTAGGCACACGTTGTGGTGCTGATCTGTAAAGATGTGTGAAGGTCTCCTCTGACTGTACCTTCCATGTGCGGTCATGGCCCTCCTCCTCTCACAACTTTCCATGGCTCCCTTTTACCCAGATCAGCTCCATTGTTGGCTTCCGGGTCTTTCATTTCCTCCCCCACCAATCCCGCCAACTCCTCCCTCCATCCTTGTGATCCTTAGTCCAATCCTGAGCCCCTTTCTTGGGGTCTTTCTCAGGCACCCATTTACCTTCCACCTTGGGAGGTTGTGAATGACTGTTTTCTTTCTGTCTTTTTTTTTTTTTTTTTTTTTTTTTTTTTTACAGTGCTTGTGTATTACTTTTAGCAATTAATTTAAAAAACCCAAAAAGGTCATTTTTAGTTAAAAAATGATGCAGACACACATGCACAAACTGTTTATAATCATTTGTCCCCCAAGAATTTGAGGCCTCACTGTAGAATTTAAGTCACTCAAGGAGACTCAGGCTGCAAGCCCCATTCAGTGACTGCTCTATGCCATCGGTCTTTCTCTAAGCCACATACACATTTACCCAGGACATGGATGCTGGGACTTTCTAAGCCTGGCTAGTTTCTCAGTGGGTCACCTCAGGGTCCCAAGGATGGAGACTCCTGGTAGGCCAGGCCTTTCTGGCTTATTCTAAAGAAATTAGATCATAAATGCACCTCGTTATTTTCAGGAGATGGGAAGCAATATGACAACCACGACTCTGCCTCACATGTGTTGGACTTTGATTTTTCTTGTTGCCATTTCATTTTCAGTTACCTGCAAGTTGTTTGAGGGCTGTGAGCCTTGTTACCTCAGCTCTCAAGGGCCAGGTAGAGTCCAGAATCAACACCCTGTTTCACTTGACTTTCAAACTAGAAGAGGAGCTCACAGCTGAGTTTCACCATGTAGGAGAAAAAGGAATTATATTGTATGTGAAGAGCTGATACAGAACATCTTTGTTCTCCCAGAACTCCATTGCCTGTTCTTTGAGAGACTTCTGGTGTCTGTTTGCTGGTTCTGCCCTTTGAGTAGAGTCTCTTTCTGGTCATTTCAAAACTGGATCGCCTGACTTCAGGGCAGGGTGGAAGTGTCAGAGAACAACAAAGAGCCGGTTGCCCTCTCCTTCACTGGAGGAGAGCAGAGCAAAATGCTCAGAAAAAAAAAAAAAAAAGCACTTTGTTTCTTCAACATTAGTATTTTGAGTGTTTTGCAGCTAAACTTCTTAGGTATAACCACTGCTTCTCAACCCTGAACTACTGTATTAGTCTGTTCTCATACTGCTTAATAAAGACATACCTGAGAATGGGTAATTTATAAAGGAAAGAGGTTTAATGGACTCACAGTTCCATATGGCTGGGGAGGCCCCACAGTCATGGTGGAAGATGAAGGAAGAGCAAAGTCACGTCTTACATGGTGGCAGGCAAGAAGGCATGTGCAGGGAACTACCCTTTATAAAACCATCAGATCTTGTGAGACTTATTCACTATCATGAGAGCAGGGCAGAAAAAACCCACTGCTGTGATTCAGTTACCTCCCACCGGGTCCCTCCCATGACACGTGGGGATTATTACAATTCAAGATGAAATTTGGGTGGGGACACAGAGCCCAATCCTATCAGGTGGTATATTTAGTGTTACTCTTCTTCCACATCAGAACTTGACAGTTGATTCAAGAACATTCCAACACAATCCTGAACCTCACTTGCTTCATCTGTAAAATGAGGATAATGCCTACTTCGCCGGGCCGTTGTGAGGATTAAAGGGATTCTGTGAGGTAAAGGAAGTCTGTGTGAAGTCCCAGCACAGTATCTAGCATAGAGGGCACTGTAGAATGAGAAAGGTGAAGATGAGTCCACTGTAGCCTTATGGGGAAATCACTCTGAGGCAGGACCACACTTCATCAGAATCTGATTTCGTGTGGTTTGCCCAGAAGGCAGTTTTAATCCTGTGATTATTATGGGGTGGGGGGATGTGAACTTCTGATTGGAAATGTTACTGATTTACTTACCCATGAACAAAATCAGTTTAACCTTATGAAGGTAATTAAGGCTTCTGCTGGGGACTCCTTTGCTTCTGTAAACTGCAGGTGGTAACACCGCCCAGTCAGCCTTGATGGGGAAGAGGGAAAGGTGGCCGGGCCTTCCAGGGTGTCTCTCCCCAGAGGAGCAGGACTGATGCCTACAAGTTTTCAGGGCTCTGAGGGTGGCAGGAACCCGGAAATCCAGGCTTCTAGGACCCCTGTGGCCATTTTCAGAAATGGAGCAGGTCCCCCAGGCATGAAGGGTACCTGGAGATTCAAGAGTATGACTGCCCATGGGCCTCTGTGGCTTGAAAATATTATCAGGGCAAAACTTGTCATTCCTTATTCAGAGCTAAAGTGCTCATTGCACATAGTCCTGGGAGAAATAACAGGACAGTCAGCTCTGACGTGATGGACACAGGCAGAAGTGATTTGTGGAAGTGGGCTTGGACAGAGGGAACAATTCTGGAGATTCACCCGGGAGAACAAAGAGCTGGAAGAAGGAGGTAGTGCAGAGGCCCTCAGAAGGGGAACGACCTAGAGCCACACAAAGACGGGCTTTGCTTCCTTCATGTTTTGCTTGGGACCAAACTTGCTTTCTCCTGTGTAGCCGATTCTCTGGTTTGTGTGCAGAAAGACTGCCAACACTGCCATTTAAATAAGGATTTCAGGAAGTAGAAGGGAAAAAACTACTGGAGTGAGAATTTATGGTGCAGAGTATTTAATGATATTAAGATGCAGAGTGGCAATTTAAGACATTTTGCTGCCTCTCAGGGAGTTTTGTAGGTATACAGGCTAATTTTCAGAAGGGTTGCTGGGGGCAGGGGAGAAATCATTTGCCTGCATACGGTGAGGTATAATCACTAGTACCTGGGCATTTATTAGAATTTGGAAGAAAAATGGAAAAAAATCAGTCTACTTTATTGAAATCTTTTGCAGAAATGTGACACAACCATTTTCTTTTTTTTCCTCTCTCTTTTTTTTTTTATTATACTTTAAGTTCTAGGGTACATGTGCACAACGTACAGGTTTGTTACATATGTATACATGTGCCATGTTGGTGTGCTGCACCCATTAACTCGTCATTTACATTAAGTATATCTCCTAATGCTATCCCTCCCCCTCCCCCCACCCCGCAACAGGCCCCGGTGTGTGATGTTCCCCTTCCTGTGTCCAAGTGATCTCATTGTTCAGTTCTCACCTATGAGTGAGAACATGTGGTATTTGGTTTTTTGTGATTGGAATAGTTTGCTGAGAATGATGGTTTCCAGCTGCATCCATGTCCCTACAAAGGACATGAACTCATCCTTTTTTATGGCTGCATAGTATTCCATGGTGTATATGTGCCACATTTTCTTAATCCAGTCTGTCATTGATGGACATTTGGGTTGGTTCCAAGTCTTTGCTATTGTGAATAGATGACACAACCATTTTCAAATAGTTTTTATTACCACCAAAACAATATTCATGAACTAAAAGCTAATGTAAGGAATCCAAATTCTTACAGTGGTTACTTTGGCTGGGAGAAATAGAATTGTTTTCCTCTTTTCAATTTTCTGTATATTTTTTAATTTTAAAGAAAATGTGAGTCCTGTATAGTGATAGGATCGCAAATTTAAAATGTGTGTGTGTGTTTTTTTTTTCTTTTTTCTGCAATAGGGTTACATGATGGAAAATCGAATCTCAGGCTTAAAGTGTGACACAGATACATTTGCCACTTTTGAAGGTGACACTGTCGTTATGCTTCAGGTAAGATTCGGGAAATGTTTTCAAGATCAAGAGTTATCCAGAAGTCTGAAGTGTTTCATATGTTTTATCTTTATCTGATTGCCTTATTTAATTGGCAGGTGCTTTCCTGTGAGGCACTTGATATTTGTTGTAGCTGAACAGGGGATTACATTATTTCTCTCTTAGCTGATCTTTGACTTTGAATTACATCTTTTTGGTTTAAGAAAACCACTTATACATAGTGAGTCAGATTCTTCTACTGGTAAGGGCATTTTGGAAGAGTATGTAAGGGCCCAGAAGATGAACAAGCGAAAGACATGAAAACCCAATTTACAAAAGAACGACAATGGATCAGCCTCCTAATGATCAAGAAAATGCATATTAGACTATTGTGCAATACTGTTTTCCTTTCTCAACCCAGTCCGCTCATGTTTTAAAGTATGTTGAAGTCCCTGTGCTGGCACGGGGTGTTCTCTTGCATGTTGCTGTTGAACCATGTAGAATTCTACTTCTGGGCTGTATTTTAAGATAACAGCCTGAAATACAGAAAACTTTAAGGCACAAACATTTTCACCAGTACATTATTTATTATAGCAATAATGTTGGAGTCCAAATTTTCAACAATAGGATAATTATTATACAGTATAAATCATGCTCTGGCCATTCAGTGGGGAATTATATAGCTTTTAAAATAGTGCTTTCAAAGAGTGCTATTTATAACCGAAATTTAAAACTCATGGTGAGTAAAAATGATACAAAAACGTACAAGTCATGCATTGCTTAACAACAGGAACATATTCTGAGATATTTGTCATTAGGCCGTTTCATCGTTGTGTGAACTTCATAGAGCGCACTCACACAAACCTAGATGGCACAGCCTACTCCGCACCTAGGCTCTGTGGTGGAGCCTATTGCTCCCAGGCTGCACGCCTGTAGGGCATGATACTCTACTGAATACCACAGGCTACTGCAACATAATTCTTGTTTGTTTACTGATACATAATATTTTTACATATATAAGGGATACGTGCGATATTTTGTTACATGTCTCGAGTGTGTCATGATCAAGCCAGAGTTCTTACGGTGTCCATCACCTCGAGTATTTATCATTTCTATTTGTTGAGAACATTTGAAGTCCTCTCTTCTATGTATTTTGAAATATGCCATATATTGTTGTTAACGATAGTCACTCTACTCTGCCATGGAACATTATAACTTATTGCTTCCACCTGACTGTATATTTGTACTGATTGATCAACTTCTGTTCATCCCCCCTACCCCCCCCCCCCACACACCTTTCCCAGCCTCTGGTATCTATCATTCTAATCTTTACTGCTATGAGATCAACTTTTTTCGCTCCCATGTATGAGTAAGAACATGCCATATTTGTGTTTCTGTGCCTGACTTATTTCACTTCACATAATGACCTCCAGTTCCATTCATGTTGCTGCAAATGAAATGATTTCATTTTTTATGGCCAAATAGTATTCCATCAAATATATATATACACACACATACACACACACACACATATTTTCTTTGTTCATTTCTTCATGCGATGGGTATTTAGGTTGATTCCACATCTTTGCTATTGTGACTAGTGCTGCAAATGTGGGTGCAGGTATACCTTTGATATAGTGATTTATTTTTCCTTTGCATAAATACCCACTAGTGGGATTGCTGGGTCATAGGGTAGTTCTATTTTTAGGGTTTTTGTTTGTTTGTTTGTTTTGTTTTTGAGAAACCTTCATACTGTTTTTTATAGTGGCTGTACTAATTTACCTTCCCACCAACAGTGCCTAACACAATTTTTTTATGTTTAAGTATTTGTGTTTGGAAGTACATCCAAGCATAGATAAGGTGATGTGTTATGCTATGATATCATGATGGCAAAGATATCACTAGGTGATGGGAAATTTTTAGCTGGGGCACTTGACTGTATAAAGAATGTGATCATGATTTGGGGTTTTTAAAAAAGGACAACTGGGACTCCTGGACTGCTAAGATAGAATAGCCCCAATTCCTCACAGATTTTCCTCTTCACAATTAAACTCCCTGGACAAAATACAACAGAAAGCATGGGAAGAGAAGGCCCTGGAAGGGGGAAGGAAGAAGGAGGCTGCCTAGGGACTCTGGGACTTGAAGAATGAAACAGTAATAAGGTCTCTGGATTTCCTTATTTTTTCCCATATATCCCAGACAGGATACACGTCCCCTGTATCTCTAATAGGCACACACAAAATATGCTCCAGGAGACACCTAATCCCGTAGCCAAAGGACCAGAAAGTTGGTGGCCTGATGACCGAAAATCTTTTTGGTAATATCCATGCTACACCAGCCAGACACAACATAAAAGCATAACCACTCTCCCCACCCCCGTTGACAATTTCAGCCTCACTGGGAGCTGATCTTCCACTGGATCCCTGACCTAAGGAAGCAGGCAGAAGCAGGGGTAGTACTCCTATCCCCCACCCAGTGGCGTTTGTGGGGCTGAGCAGGGAGCTCATCTTTTATCCTTCTCCTGGTGGAAACAGGTGGCGCTCAGATTCCCCACCAGAGTAGTGTCAGCAAGGCCCGGTGGCGAATCCACCCCCACTCAGCAGCAACAAGAACCAATGAGGTGGCTTAATGTGGAGCCCATCACCAGTGTGCTTCCGCTACCCACCCTGGGGCCAACAGGGGTCCAGCAGGAAGCTGAGTCTCTACTCCCATCTGACATCAATTAGACTAACCAGGAGGTGTGAGTAGGGACTAGTCACTACTCTGTGTTCTCCCACCCCTGGTGTCAGTGGGCCCAGTGAGGAGATGAAGCTCTACATCCACAAGACGACAAGAAACTGGATCAAGCAGCGTACAGCAGAGCCAGTGGACACTTTGACCTTTTCCCTCCCTGCCCCCTAAACCCCCAAAGGAGATTTAGTGGGGAGGTGAGCCTCTAGCCTCACCTGGCACCAACAGAATGAAATAGGATGAAGTGGGGGAGTTAATCTCCTTCTTCCTCCTCCCGTATTGTAGCAGGAACCAGTAAGCAGCGGAGCCTTCACCTCATCCAGCATCAGTGAGGCACAATGACGTGGTGGGAAATGGGGGTAGTTGGCCCTGTGCTTCCCCACTCCCTTCCCTGATGTCAGCAGGACCAAGAGGAACTGAACTTGCCCCCAACCTGTCTCCAACAAGGCAGCGTGAGTCAGCGCTCCTTCTTCCCCAGCATGATGTCGACGGGACCCAGCAGGAAAGTGAACGTATACCCATCAGGACCTTTTGCTACACTTCAAGATTAAATATCATCTCATAATATCCGATCTAAATACACTGGGTACAACAGAACATCACTTGTTATAAAAGAACCAAGAAAATCACAACTTGAATGAGAAAGTCAATAGATGTTGATACCAAGGAGAATCCTATGTTGGAATTACCTGATAAGGATTTTAAAATACCCACTATAAAAGTGCTTCAAAGGTGCACAAAACTGCTACAAATGCTCTTAAAACAAATTTTTAAAATAGAAAAAAAATATAAGCAAATAAAAGGGTACCAAATTCAAATGATAGAGTTAAAAATATAATGCAACAAACTTGCAGTCTGACCCCAATAATAGATATGATAGAGGGTGGAATCAGTGAATTTGAGGACAGATCAACAGAATTTACCCAATCTGAACAACAGAGAAGAAAAACATGAACAGAATCATAGGGATTCATGGAACAATAAGAAAAGAGCTAGCATTTGCATTATCAGAGTCTCAGAAGGAGAGAAGTGTGTTGCTCAATGTATGCAAAGGAAATACTTCAGACGATTATATTTAAAAAGTGAGGAGGGCAAAGAGACCTAAATGGAGGTAAGGTTTCTACACTTCACTCCGAGTAGTAAAACATTAATATCACTAGACTGTGATGAGATATATCACAAGTATTTACATGTAAATAATAAGACTATACAATATGATATTGTGATGTTCTGGGGGAAAACCTGATAGAAATGAAAGGAGAAATAGACAAATCAACAATTAAAGTTGGAGATTTCAACACATTTACTTCAATGGTTAACAAAACTACTAGACAGCAAATCAGAAAGGGTAGGAAAGAACTGAAAAACAGGCACTGCTGGGCCTGCAGGTCTCTGTTGAGCAGTGGAAGCGGGTCTCTGTTCCACAGGATGGGGTTTGTTAGAGCTATTAAGAATAAGGCCTACTTTAAGAGATACCAAGTGAAATTTAGACGACGACTTGAGGGTAAAACCAATTACTATGCTCAGAAATGCTTGGTGATACGGGATAAAAATAAATACAACATACCCAAATACAGGATAGTAGTTCATGTAACAGAGATACCATTTGTCAGATTGCTTATGCCCGTATAGAGGGGAATATGATAGTCTGCGCAGCATATGCACACAAACTGCCAAAATATGGTGTGAAGGTTGGCCTGACAAATTATGCTGCAGCGTATTGTACTGACCTGCTGCTGGCCCGCAGGCTTCTCAATAGGTTTAGCATGGACAACATCTATGAAGGCCAAGTGTAGGTGACTGGCAATGAACACAATGTGGAAAGCATTGATGGTCAGCCAGGTGCCTTCACCTGCTATTTAGATGCAGGCCTTGCCAGAACTATCACTGGCAATAAAATTTTTGGCTTCCTGAAGGGAGCTGTGGATGGAGGCTGGTCTGTCCCTCACAGTACCAAACGATTCCCTGGTTATGATTTTGAAAGCAGGGAATTTAATGCAGAAGTACACTGGAAGCACATCACGGGCCAGAATGTTGCAGATTACATGCGCTACTTAATGGAAGAAGATGAAGATGCTTACAAGAAACAGTTCTCTCAATACATAAAGAACAGCGTAACTCCAAACATGATGGAGGAGATGTATAAGAAAGCTCATGCTGCCATACATGAGAATCCAGTCTATGAAAAGAAGCCCAAGAAAGAAGTTAAAAAGAAGAGGTGGAACCATCCCAAAATGTCCCTTGCTCAGAAGAAAGATCGGGTAGCTCAAAAGTAGGCAAACTTCCTCAGA